ATCCAGTAACATTGTGCAGTAATGCTCTTGTAGATGCATATCACAATTCATTGAGATATTCAGTATATATGTCGTACAAAAATTACACTTTTTACAGAAGCCTGAAAATTAATCATTACATTTAGCTATTACCAAGCATAATAGAAGGACCCAGCAATCTCCACATTTCTATATGCTTCAGGGTATGTAACCGTACTTCTTCAATCTGGTGTCCTCCAGGTGTAATCCCTGAAAGTCCAAGATAACCGTGCCAAAACTGGAAGTGCTACAGTCCAAAGGTGTGAAATGTGTTACTAAGTGCAAAAAAGCAAGATTGCTTTGGTTGGTTGGTGATACTCCACCATAACCCAAACTGTGGAGCACTTTGTATGATGAAACATTCACATGTTGTGTTGGCTTCTTTTTCCTCTTTAGCTAATGGGTATATCTTAAAGTTGTATTTTGTAACTGGTGATTAGCTTGGCTTCTTCGTTCTATTTAGATCACTGTGTCCAGATCATTGGTGGAAAAGAATCAGTTCCACATTCAAGACCTTTTATGGCCAAGATCAAAGGCTCGACTATTTGTGGGGGAACCCTGATCAAATCAAACTGGGTATTAACAGCAGCTCACTGCAACATGTAAGTTTGGAAGTGTTGCTAGGTTTTTATTTATTTATTTTTAAAATCTTGTTTTATTTATATATATATTCTCAAGCATAACATAGCCCTGCAATTTAGGGATGAGCAAAACCTAAAGTTTAGATCCAAGCAAATTTGTCATCTCTCAGGTAAATTGTTCATTATTTCAACTTCTTGGCATAAATTCTAGGAGTGACAATGAAACAAAGAAATCTATGTTTGTGTATATGTGTATGTGCCTATGTGCATGGTACTAGAATTTTTCAATACAATAAATATGTACAAAAAGAGATTGAAAATAAGAAAAGGGGGAAAAACAGAAAAGGAATTAAAAGAGAAGAAAATACACATTCTTTCCATCAATTATCACTTTATTATTTTCACCATTCTCTTTGACCCAAATGAAGAAATCATCAATTTCATATTTTTTTCTTTCAACAAAAACTCCATGTGAGGTTTCCAGTTTTTCAAAAGAAATTATTATTATTATTTTATTATTTTCCTATATCCAGACTAGAAGGGCTTTGCTATTTTTGCAAATTCAGTTAATGTTATAATCCATCTTCCATCGTAGATACTTCATTAGTTTCCCAACCTTTGGCATGCATTAATCTTGCCAGATTTACCATATGCAATATTGATTTCTCATACTTCTTTTCTAATTCCATGATCATAAAACCCAATAGGAATAATTCTGACCTCATCCCCACCACCACCACCACCCAAAAAAAATCTTGTTTAGGTGATCAGGGTCTGACCAGATGGAACAGCTTGCCCTCGGACATTGTGGGAGCGCCATCACTTGAGACTTTCAAGAAGAGATTGGACTGCCATTTGTCAGAAATGGTGTAGGGTGCCCTGCTTGGGCGGGGGATTGGACTAGAAGAACTACAAGGTCCCTTCCAACTCTGATTATCTGTTATCTGTTAAAACCATTGCTTGGGCAGGGGGGTTGGACTAGCTGACATATAAGGTCCCTTCCAACTCTGATTATCTGTATCAGATGATGGGCCAGAAGTCACAGTAGGAAAAAACTGGGATAAACCAAAAACCTGGGTAAAATAGCAGACAAGATTGTGCTGGCATACTTATCAGCCAGAAATTGGAATCAACTTTCATAGATGATATTAGAGAATTTTTCTGTTCTCTCAAAAGCCCTCTTACAAATACTTCTTTTTCATGTAGAGCAAAACATGACATTAATAGCGCACGATGCCTTGCACATTACTGGTGTTATTGTTCTTGTGAAAATTGCATATAATTTGACCTCCCTTTGATTTCCAACATCCATGTATGTGTGAATGTTCCTGTATTGTAATTTATTATTGAACATAACCAGAAATAGGCCATTGAAAGTATTTTACATCTTGTATCAAAAATATATTTACTTTCACTGTTGAAATAATACTCCAATGAAAATTGAAGTAAATGAATATATACTGTACCTAAACCTGCTGTCTCTAAATCTTAAATTTATGTGCCAGGAAATAAACAATGTTCAATATAGTAGAATTTACTTCTGAAGAAACACAGAGGATTGAACTGCCAAATGATAAAACTTAATATTCTTCAGCTGAGATTATAACATATTATACTTGCTAGAAATGAACTTTACTCAATACTTATTTATCCTCTGCTTTTTAGAACAAAAACCACTGAAGTTATTCTTGGAATTCATTCAGAAAAAGACACAACAAAACAAGTTTTCAAAATTAATAAGCACATTCCTCATCCATGCTATGATTCCGTCACAATGGAGAATGACATTATGCTTCTCCAGGTATATTCTAAAGGATATATATAATTAATATACATGTGAATGACAGCAAGACTAGTTTCTCCTTTTCTTTATGGGTACAGGGAATCCTTAATTTACAGCCACATTTGGGACTGGAACTGCCATTGATAAGCAAAGTAGTTGCTAAATAAACCATGCTAAATTTTATGACCTTTTTTGCTATGGTTATTAAGCAAATCATTGCAGGTATTAAGTGAAGCATTCAAATCCAGCTTCCCCCCACTGACTCTACTTGTCAGAAGACATCTAGGAAATCTGCAAATGGCAATCACATGACCTTAGGCTGCTGCAACTGTCATAAATCCATGCCATTTGCCAAGGGCCCAAATTTTGATCCTGTGACCACAGGAAGAGCTGGTCATAAGTCACTTTTCTGAGTGCCATCTAATCTCAAATACCAGCTAAATGAATGATTGTAAATTGAGGACTACCTGGATTGGAGATTGTTGAGATTGTTGAGATCATTGTTGAGATGTGTTGTTTGTTTTACTTGTATATGTATGGCTAAAGCCTCTATTACTGGGGGCTGAATGTCAGGGGGTGGAATCAGTGGTGAATATTTCATTTCAGCTTTGCAACTACAGTCTGGGCTTTGGTTATCTTTCCAAGATCATTCCATCTAGTTTTGGTATGCAGCAGAAAGATTTGCCTAGCTACAAGGGGGTTGGGCTCTACAGTTTGTTTCAATTTGCTGCTTCACACACTTTTGCCTTACATCTTTCCTGAAACTTGTTGCATTCAGTTCCCTCCTAGTAAAAGTACCATTTCTCTGAATCTATGGAGCTAAGGTTTTTTTCTTTCCTAGGGAGTGGACAGTGTCTGCCTTGACATAGCTGTGTGTACTCATGCAGAAAGCAGTGTACAAGGGATTTATCTCTAGCCTTGAGAAGGGAGGGCGAGAAAAAGAAACAATTATTTACCCATGTTGTTGATCTGGCCTACTTCAAAGGGCTGACAAGCAATCCATAAGAGGAGCCTGAGAGTTGAGGACCAGTTGATAGGAACCACCATTGACAATGGCATCAGTGGAATAAAGAATATTCTCACACTTATGTGTTGGAAACATTCTTTTCCCTTTCATTTCAGAGAAGGAGAGCAGGAGGAAGGAATTCATATTTCTATATAAATGATCAGCAGGTGTAAAATTACACATATTGAAGAAGTTCAAAGTATTAATGTTGTTACTATTCCTATTACCATTTGTTTTTATTGCAAGGGGCTCCGATGGTATAAATTCTCAGACTCATTGCATCGGCACAATATTGTAATGTAGGTCAGGCTGAGATACGGTGACTCTCCAAGGTACAAGTCTAACATACAATGCATTAGACTCCATATT